GCTGCTGCCAGGGCTGGAGCCCCTGTGCTCTGGAGGCAGCCTGGGAGAGCTGGGGCTGCTCCCCTGCACAAGTATTCAGGCTCCAGGGAGAGCTGAGAGCCCCTGGCAGGGCCTAAAGGGGCTCCAGGAGAGCTGCCCAGGGACTGGGGACAAGGCCTGCAGGGCCAGCACCCAGGCAATGGCTTGCCAGTGCCAGAGGGCAGGCCCAGCTGGGATATTGGCAAGGAATTGCTGGCTGGGAGGGTGGGCAGGCCCTGGCACAGGGTGCCCAGAGCAGCTGGGGCTGCCCCTGCATCCCTGCAGTGGCCAAGGCCAGGCTGGACAGGGCTTGGAGGGAACACTGGAAGGTGTCCCTGTCCATGGCAGGGGTGGGACTGGATGGGCTTTAATGTCTCTCCCAACCCAAACCAGTTTTGATCGTGAGGACACTTCTGTTAGCAGTTCAGGGCAAATGCTACCATTGTGAGTATTGTGCCAGGGTTGATGTTTGATGGGAAATTCAGACCCAAGAATGAAGGAGAGGAGGAGGTGAGATGGAGAGAACTTTAGGAAGAGCATGATAAGATGCTCAGGATCAAAACTGCTTTTTTGGAAAGATAAATGTATATGTACATATATTAGAAAAAAGTGTACATACATAGTTCTGGACACTTCTACATTTGGACAGTTTAATTTGCCTCTAAACCTGATGTCATTGATGAAAGATTCAATTACAGGGATTTAAAATCCTCATCAGTAAGGCCGTTTTATTCCCATTTTCAGGGTTGAGTTGTTGTCACAGGTACTGGTGATAATTTTGACAGCCCTTGACGTGGTCAGTGGGAGCAGTCCTGGTGGGTCAGATAGCCCAGCGTTTGCTAAACTTGCTCTTTTCTTTCAAGGCTGGTTGACTACAGGAAAACCTTTAGCTAAAAAATAAAAACCCAGAACAAAACCAAAAGATCCCAGCTTAGCTCCCCTTTACATTCATGAACCTGGCACTGGGACAAGGCTGAGATCTGAAGGACAACAGATCTAAAATAACCCCAGGACAGGAGCTGTGTTGCTTTAGTTTATTATAATTATTTTTTAAATTCAATTTTGCTAGAATTCTTTGGTTCTCTGTGAATTAAAAAAAGGAGAACTTTTTCTTGCCAAACTCCTAATAAAACTGCTGGAGCTTGGAAAGAAAAAGTATGGATGACATGCTTTCACCAGCTTAAAACTCACCATGCAACGGAGAGAAAAGCCACACCAGGAATTTCCTGCCACTTCCAAGCAAGGGCAGACGTGAGTCCTTCTGCCATAGCTTGGAAGAACCAAGGGTGGGACTTGGTAAATGTGGGTGTTCCTGTGGTGTCAGTGTCCCATGCCCACTGTTGTTTCTGCAGCTGCTTTTTGGGGTTTTTGCTTTGGTATCCCATCCTCCTGGATTTCTGTATGGATGAAGCATTTTCAGCAGGAGCAGGATCATGCCCTGAGCCCACAGACATGTGTACCCCCAGTGAGGAGAAATCCTTCCTGTGGTCTTTTACTGAGAAAGTGCAGGCAGGACTTGATGGTTTTGAAGGTCAAGGCAAGTGGTGAGGAACCTCTTGGATAGCTTCTTGTGCTGACTGACACGTTGAGACTTAGCTGGGATGATGCTTTTATGGAGGACATGGCAAAACTGAGGCATCCCCTCAGGAAAACCCAGGAAGATGCAAAAAAATATGGGAAAAGAAAAAAAAAAAAGTTTTCCAGTGGGAATGGGAAATGGGGAATGGGAAATAACGTTGTTCTGGGGCATCATTAGTGATGAACCATCTGCACCAAAATTACAAAAAATCGTTACCCCAGGGGCTTTGGGGTATTGCCTTGATTTCTCCCCTCTGAGGAACTAATGTGAATGGCTGTCCTCTGCAGACCTGACTATGAGTGATCAATACAACTAGTTCCCTAAATTCCTGAGGGCAATTTCACTTTATTTTCAGTTATTTTTATACTATTATTTTTTTCACAATGAGCTTGCACAACGCACCGGGGGCGGGGAGTCTGCTGGAGCTTCAAGGCAGGATGTAATGGAAACCATGGAAAATCCTAATAACCCAGTGATAGCAGCAAATGGAGGGATCCTTAATAACGAAATAATAGTGCAGATGTTTATAGCATGAAACATTATCATTGTTTGCTGGGATATGGGAACGCTCCCAGTTTGCTGGGAGTTTTCCAGGCATTTAGAAAGGGATGTTTTTGCACCAAGGAGCTCGTAAAAACGACGCTTTTAACTCAAAACAGGGATCCCAAAGGGTTTGCATCCATCTATGGGCTGTCACACACAGGAGGATGTGTTGAGGAATTTTCCTGGGATCTGGGTTTTTGTGTGAGTTTGCAGCAGGCGGAGATGGGAGTTGGATGGTGGATGCCTGCCACGACCCCAGGTTGCACGGGGTGAACCCAGCAGGGTGTTTTTGAGCATAATACTTCTGTTTGCTTCATTTGCACAGATCCATGATTATTGCCACCAAAAAAAGCCTTTTGGGGAAAAAAAACACAACAAACCAAAAAACAAAAAGTCTGTCACTGTAGGAAGCATCTCTTGAGTCACTTTTTCCTTCTCTCCTGCCACCTCCTCTCCTGTCGGAGTGATGCCACTGGCTTTTCCCACCCCTTTTCCTGGCGGATGCCAGAAACAGGGAGGCGGGTGGGAGCAAGTGGGCTCCTCTGGGGTCCCTGCAGCTGCAAAAAGCAGCTTTGGTGGTGGCTGGCAGGGAGGCCTGTGCATGTTTATCTGAGCTCAGCCCTTATATTCTCATGGATTTTTGACTAGACATGCAGTCAACAGCTGAAGCCCGCAAACGGAAGAGGCTCTGGCATATTTATACTGCGTGCTGGCACCAGCTCCTTAAAAAAAACTCAAACATCCCGGATTACCTAAGATTCGTCCTTGAGGTCTGGTCACCCCATGTCATTCAGAAACCTAGTGGGATTCATTCATGAACTTCCAGGCCTCCATAAAGGTCTGTTCATTCATGGCCAAGGCAGTTTTCTATTTTTTTCTTTTTTTCTTTTTTTATTATTGGTAGGTTTGTCTTTTTTTCTTTTCCTTAAATGCTCTAGCAATTAAATAGCTCTCTGTAAGCAGCAGTGAACTGGCTGTTACATGGTCTTGACTAATGCAAGCACAAACACCAGGTGAAAAAGTCCTTTTTTCCCCCCCTGCCATCTCCCGAAGGGGATGCTTTTTATGTTGGAATAAAAAAAAACAAACCTATAGGAATTTCAGCAGGGGTCCAATGGCTCCAAAATTCCCTCAGCTGCTATAAAGCAAAACCCAAAAGGGTCTGAACATCATGGGCAGGCTGACAGTGAGGAGGGAGGTAGTGGGTGGTCAACACAGATCCCCCTTTGGATTAGAGAGCATCCTTCCCCTGGATCCAGGGGCATCCCTCCCAGATTGTTTTCTCTCCCAGGCAGGTGGCGGAAACTCCAGTCCTGGGGGTGTTTCTTGTCCCTCTGGATGCACTTTTGCATGGAGGGGGACCCCATCTGGGTTAGTGGGGAGGAAGTAACTCAAACTGCCCTCCCTGCCCCTCCTCAGTCCCAGTTTTCAGCAGGACATAAAATTACCCACAGCAAAGTCTTGTGAGGCACCAAAAAAGGGAGTGGAAGGACAAACTGGGGTGCACCTCGACAGATGCTGTCCCAGGGACCACCCCAGCATGACCAGAACCCCCATCCCTGGTTTAACCTGGGAATGAGGGTCCCTGTTTTGAGACATACACAGTCAGGCCCATTTTTAGTAGCTGCCTCCAGCAACTGGAGAAATATTTTCCTCGCTGGCATAGAAATGAGGAAATTAAAAGTGTGTGGCTGGGCTTTTTTTTTCTTTTTCTTTTTTTTCTTTTCTCTTAAAAGCACAGTGCAGGGCTTGAAGGAGATGAGACCAAAACTGGGAAAATGGGCTTATTAATAGCAAAAAATAGAGAAAGCAGGCAGCCAGTGTGTTGCCCTGGGGAGGAAAGGGTTGTGGGGGGCTGCAGGAAGAGTTTTTGGTTGCTGGGTCGCCCACCATCCCAGCTCCATTAGTTTCTCTCATAGTTCAGGGGATTATTTTGGTAGTGCTCACTAATGTGCATTCCCAGCTTGATTTTTTTTTTTCTTTTTTTTTTTTTTTTAAATACTATTATAGAGATGAATAGTTCCCAGGTCTTAACATGCCTACTGAGGCTGGAAGGAATTACCCGCCGAGCAGCGCCAGGCTGCTTGGGATCCTCTGTCAGGAAAAGGCTTTCTCACATTTTTTCCCTCCTCCTGCCTTGCTTTTTCCTCCTACATCATTGCCATGCTGCATGGGGTAACTATGGAAAAGGGAGTTGAGAGAAGGCCTACATGAATGAATTTCTATTTTTTTTTTGCAAGGTTTTTGGCCATTTTTGTTAACACACGTGAGATTTTTTTTGGTTCCCTCTGTCTTTTGGTGCTTTCTGTAGGTTAGGGTGGCATCTTGTGTCCCCCTGCTATCCATCACCCAGGCTCTGCAGGCAGGGAAAAGCCCCATGAACCAGAGCAGTCAAGTTCTCATCCCCTTTGCTCCCATGGGGTGACTTTCAGTGCGGTTTTCTTAGCTGCACCTCATTTTTTCGGTGTCTGTGCACAGTAGATTGTCACTTATGGAAATAAATCCATCGTTCAGTAGGTGAAAACTGACAGATTTAGCTGTCTGGTTTCACAGGCATCTCGTCTCTCCTGTTGGCACTGGAGGGGTCCTGGTGCTGGTTTGGGTGAGGGTGGCTGTGTCATTGTCATTGGCTGTGTCATTCAGGATCAGTAAATACAACTAGAACTAGACACTGAAACAACAGAGGAGTGCCCCAAACCTGGAAAGGTTTATTTTGGAAAGAGTGGCTGCACTGTGGACATTGATGCATGCATGGAAAGGATCGTGAAGACATGGGCAGGCAAGGTCCTGCCAGTTCGTATTAATTCCCTTGATGCTAAAACTCTCCTTTTTTCCTTTCTTTTCTCCTGTTTTTCTGCAGATTCTCAAGTTCTTCAGGAGCCAGGGGATAGGTCACACTGGTGTGTGGTGGCATACTGGGAAGAGAAGACACGCGTGGGTCGGCTGTACTCTGTCCAAGAGCCCTCCCTGGATATCTTCTATGATCTACCTCAGGGGAATGGTTTCTGCCTCGGACAGCTCAACTCAGACAACAAAAGCCAACTGGTGCAGAAGGTGCGCAGCAAGATCGGCTACGGCATCCAGCTCACCAAGGAAGTGGACGGCGTGTGGGTGTACAACCGCAGCAGTTACCCCATCTTCATCAAGTCGGCCACACTGGACAACCCCGACTCCAGGACGTTGCTGGTTCACAAAGTGTTCCCAGGGTTTTCCATCAAGGCTTTTGACTACGAGAAGGCGTACACCTTGCAGAGACCCAACGACCACGAGTTCACGCAGCAGCCATGGACCGGATTTACCGTGCAGATCAGCTTTGTGAAAGGCTGGGGCCAGTGCTACACCAGACAGTTCATCAGCAGTTGCCCCTGCTGGTTGGAGGTTATTTTCAACAACCGGTGACTCGAGACAGAGTGAACTCATGACATCTATACTACTTTGCTGCTATTACTTCCTTCTGAGTGCTTGCTTTTCATGCAGACTTTTTTTTTGTTTTTTGTTTTGTTTCGTTTTGTTCACCCTTCTTCGTTTTTGAGAAATAGCTTATGAAAGAATTTTTTTGTTTGTTTGTTTTTTTTTTTGTTGTTTTTTGCCTTTGGGGTATTTTGATAAATATATCTATTTTTTAAAAGTGTGAATGACCAATAACTCTCAGAAGGGCGAGAGAAGGGTGCAGTGGGGATAGATCACACGAGATAATTACTTCATGCCTCCGAAAGGATTATCCAATGGGGATCGACGGATTTGAAAGCCACTAGCTCTATATTACAGCTCCTTCTCTTGGACAACAAAAGGAGATGACTGTATTTTTGTACGCACCACCTTCCCAGTGACGGTGACACCAAGACCCCCTTCCCCAGCAGTGCTAACCCCGTGTTGCCGCCGAAGGATGGTGCAAAACCTTCCCAGACAGGTCTCTTACCGACCTTTTGTGTTTCTCTTGTTGCTGGGTTCATGTCTTGTCACTGTGTTCATTGTTCCACTGCTTTTTCTATGTTTTTTATGATCGTGGATTGATGTAAGGGGAGAAAACAACAGTGGAGGGACTTCGGGCATGGCCCGTGCTTGATCATTTGAGCTGAGATGTGAAGTGACAGAATTCTAAACCTAAAAAAAAAAGAAATAAAAATTTTGAAACAAAACTAAAGAAAAACAAAGGGGAAAAACAAGAGAAAAAGTGTTCACAACAGTTGGTGTGTCATAACCTGCTTAGATCAGGTTATCCAGGTACCATCTTATCTGGAAATGCAGTTGTGCTTTCATTTCTTCTTGAATTCATACACAAGTATGATACTTTTACACTGTTCTTAGCTCAATGAGCATGTTTAGACCTTAACATAAGCTATTTTTCTAAATATAAAGGTTTAATTGAACAAGAGAGCATTCTTCTTGGAACTTTAGCATTGTAGTGCTTTGGAAAAAACACCCACACAAAAGAAAGGACTCCTTAAAAAAACCCTGAGATTTATTAAAGAAAAAAAATGTATTTTATGTTATATATAAATATATTATTACTTGTAAATATAAAGACGTTTTATAAGCATCATTATTTATGTATTGTGCAATGTGTATAAACGAGAAAAAAGTAAGAAAGATGCACTTTGCTTTAATATAAATGCAGATAACAAATGCCAAATTTAAAAAAAAAAGAAAAAAAAAGAGAACACAAGATTGGTGTTTTTTCTATGGGTGTTATCATCCAGCTGAATGTTTCTTTTTCTAAAGGAGTCTATGTTCCATTAAAAAATAAAAACGTACACTTGATCCCAAACTGTGCCAAGTGGCCTTTTTTGTGGTGTGAATGAGGCAGACTGGAGAGATGCTGCTCTGTGTGTGTGCTGCATGGGGTCAGTGGTGGGAGCACTCACCACAGCCCTGAGTGGGGCCTCTCTGGGGTGGGAAACACCTGGGTGGGATCACCCTGAGCCTTGGGCTAGGTGCCCATGGCTTTCGGCTGGTTTAGATGCACCTAATCAGCCCAAGGCTGGAGGGACTGGCTGCCCAAAATCTGCTGGGTTGTTTTTGTAGTTCCCCTTTGTCCTAAGTTCAGCCTGAAAGAACCCCGGTGCTGGGGACACAGCTCCTGCTTGACCCTGTCCCTGCCTTACAAATATTGGGCCAAGCTTGTGCTCTCTGCTGGGACACAGGCGGCCTGTGGCAGCAGCTGAGGAGGAAAAGGCAAGGAGGAAGTTAGTCTTGGGGTTTTCCTCGACTATTTCCTACCTTTTCCATCCCCCATGCCTCTGGAAATAAAGTGGTTGTTCCTTTTGCCCCCCTCAACCTGCCTCTGGGCGTTCCCTGCTCCACGTCCTTGCACATGTGCCAGGAGCAAGTCCCTGTAAACTGTTCCTGCTTTCCATGGAGCAGGACCTTGAGTGGAAACCCCCAGAGTCCTGGAGGCCAAGAAGAATGTCCAGATGGGCTTTTGAGCTCCCACCTTCCTGAAGCGTGTGCACCCCAGGAATGTGACTCCAGCCTCTGCTGTCCTCCAGGGGGTGGGCAGGCATGTCAGCAGGTCAGTCTCTGTGAGCATCAGCTTGGTGCTGTGCCTTCTGTTCAGCACAGATGTGCCCTTCCCAGAGGGATTTACTGACACACAGCATTTGGTTGTCTCCAAATGGACTGCACTTTCAGCTGGATCCATGGTACTGAACACATGAACACATTTTGAAAAGCTCCAAAATGGCTTTTGATCGTGGATGAGTCCCATTTTCCAGGTTCTCTCCTCATCCTTCAGGTGGGAATCAGCACGGAAAGCTGAGGCAGGATGGATGCACTCATCCTGTCTCACTTGATGTGCACTAAGGCTTGGGAGGGCAGGAGTAGAAACAATCTCATCTATGCTACAATTTGGCTCATTTCCATTCTGAGCCATCAGATGTGAGTAATGACATAACACCTGTGTGGGGCAGTGGGCCAAGCTAGCAGTGGTGACATGCATCAGGAGCTCCAGGACCACCATCAAAGGCACGGCAGGTGAAGGATAAAGCAGACAAGTGCCTCACAAAATCAGCCTTTGCTGATTCCTCCTGAGTTTTGTGTCATTGCTCTGTGTGAGCAGGCCTCTGTGGGCAGCAGGGACCTGGGGCTAGAAAGATCACTCCAAATCTGGGTATATGACCAGGTATAGGGTCATGCTGGGGTTATAGCCAATTGTCTAAGAATCACAGAAACCAGAAAAATCATGGGATGATTTGGTTTGCAAGGGACTTCAAACTAGTTCCAATCCTCTGCCATGGGCAGGGATACCTTCCATTATCCCAGGTTGCTCCAAGCTCTGTCTAACCTGGCCTCAATCACTTCCAGGGATGGGGCAGCCACAGCTGGGTGGGTTTTACTCTGCAGTAACTAAAAAATAGAGAATATTTGCTTCACTTCTGCTTCACCCACCTCCAAGCTGGGCTGCTGGGTCTTAACCCAGAAGGGATGAGAGGATGCCTTTGAACCTGAGGTATGACACCAAGTGAGCCGCATGGAGAGCCACAGAACTCTGCATTGCAGAGGTGTTTTCATATGTTTTCACCTTCTTCCATGAGGTACATAGTGAATCCTGGTGGTTAAGGCCCTGAAACCAAATTGTGGAGTAGATGGCTTTGTCCCTTGAACAAAGATCTGATTTAGTCCCTGCTCATTAGTCCATGAGATGTGACAAATCATTTAACCTTCCTGTTTTCTAGGACTTCCACTTGTAAGCTACAGAGGTTACAGAAAGCTGCTCATCCTGAAAGCTGAAAGCAAAGGATGAAAGTATTGTACCCCTAAACAAACCCTTGACAGCAGCTTTCCAAAATACATCACAAAAATACTCCAAGGGCTGGAGCCCCTGTGCTCTGGAGGCAGCCTGGGAGAGCTGGGGCTGCTCCCCTGCACAAGTATTCAGGCTCCAGGGAGAGCTGAGAGCCCCTGGCAGGGCCTAAAGGGGCTCCAGGAGAGCTGCCCAGGGACTGGGGACAAGGCCTGCAGGGCCAGCACCCAGGCAATGGCTTGCCAGTGCCAGAGGGCAGGCCCAGCTGGGATATTGGCAAGGAATTGCTGGCTGGGAGGGTGGGCAGGCCCTGGCACAGGGTGCCCAGAGCAGCTGGGGCAGCCCCTGCATCCCTGCAGTGTCCAAGGCTGGACAGGGCTTGCAGCAGCCTGGGACAGTGGAAGTTGTCCCTGCCCATGGCAGGGGTGAGACTGGATGGGCTTTAAACTGTTTTTTTGTTCTTTGAAAATGCAAAGAGGAAAAATGATCCAGCAAAGCCAGACTCTGTCTGTGGAGATGTGCCCATGATGGGTGCAGGGCTAGTGAGCTCTTGTGTCATTTGCAGGGTGCAGTGAGGGTCTGGAATATCCTCCACAGCCTCCACTTTACACCTTGCCCTATGTGACTCCCCCTGGCCATGGCTGTGACACACTGGACTGGCTGGACCTTCAGCTGGGCCTTTCCAGGTCAAATATTAAATCATCTGGAGAATGACCTGAAAAGCCTAACAGATCACTTCATTCTATGAGGTCTTTGCTTGCATTCATCTATCAAAATAAAAGGCCAGGGAATGCTGTACACAGTAAGAAAGCTGAGAAATAATCAGCAAAACTATGGCTTTTCAATGCTATGACAGTTTTTGCTGAAATGTTTCAGCCCTCACCTCCTGCTGAGCTAATTTTAGGCCTCATTCAACAAGGGAAAAAAAAAAAAAAGAATATGACAGAAGGATGCCGAGCACCAGTTCATATGTGTCCCCATTCACTCATTCAGCTCTGGTGGATGTGGGGCGAGTGGGAGGTTAAAATAGAGACCAGAGGTTAAGCAAGGAGGAATTTCCCCTTGTCTAGAGTTTGCCAGTGCTGTAATTCCAACTTTAGGGCTCAGAAAAGCTGCAGCCACACGAAGCAAAGTGCTGACCTGGTATAAACCTGGTCTGAGCAGAAACACAGGTGAAGGAGTTATGGACAAGGACAAAGCCAGCCCCTTCCAAAAGGAAGATGCTGATGTCCAGCTGACAAGTCACTCCTGGACAGCAGCATAATGTCCTTCTTGCTTCAAGCCTCCAGCACCTAAATTCAGGCACACCCCAGCTCCGTGGACTTCTTCCAGCAGAGCAGTGGTGGCCCTGGGACCTCACCTATCATTGTGCTCTGTACAGCTTATCTGTGGATTCCTCTCTTCTCTCCTTGGAAATCACCTTAGAGAAATCTCATCTGCTTAAGAGGCTCAGACATGAGGTGGTTGAGACAGTCTGAAGTCCAGATTTCCCAGTGGATGGCAGGACATGTCTCCGTCCTCTCCTTCTTAGAAAATAATTTCTCTGGAAGTTTGGGATGACTGAAATCAGTCTGTTCTTGTTAGCGGTATTTTTGCTTTGGACCATGGCTCCAGAACCACATGTATTCTGTTGATACACTGCAACATGTTAAATTGCAGCACAGTGGGGCCTTTTTTTCCCCAGTGCAGCTGAGCAGTAATTGAAGAGTGCAATAAAGAAGGGTCTAACAACTCAATTTTTATCCTAAATCACACGTGAAATATGGTCTAGGTGTCAACTGCTGAGGTACTGCAAGGGAAGGTGGTAAGATTCCACACTCTTCAGATGATGGTTTTCCACATAGGAAAGCCATTTGCAGGTGGTGCAGAGCCACAATCCCCATGTCAAGAGATGCTCAGCACCCTCCCCAAGGCATCTGCAAGCCCACAAGGGAAATGGGTCCTTCTGCCCATGCAGCCCTCAGGGCAGTGCCTTCTGCCCATGCAGCCCTCAGGGCAGTGTGTTGGTCCATGAATCCTTGTGCTGGTTGTGCTTCCACTGGTGTCATGTTGCCCCAGTGGATTTTACCTCAGAGAGATAGATGTAGACAAGTATCCATCTGAACTACCA